GGGGGGGGGGGATGGGAAAGGCTAGGGAGGCCTTTGGCGGCGCAAGGAGGAAGACTATGGGTGGTGGCGGCATAGGAGGAAGGACAAGAAAGAAAAGAAAAAAAGAGAAAACAAGAGCTCACTCGAAGGGGTTGTTGGTACTTCGTTTGAGCCTCTCCTAGGCTTCACCTCTCACTCAAGAGCTCAAAACAAGAACTAAAATCTAAAAATTTTATTAATTCTCATTAACCTCATACAAAGCAAAGACTCTATATATATGGCTCATAATAAAGAAGAAGAAAGAATCAAATGCCTCGGGGCTATAATAAATGACGTATCCATAAGGGATTAAAAATAGGAAATTGGAAATGCAACTAAACAACATAACATACATAAAAGTAAGAGCTGCGGAATCGTAGCCGTCGATCTATGATTCCGTCGATGATAAACATATCGAAATCTCTGACTGATGTCCTCATACACCGAGGACTTTAACTGTTTGCTATACCTTCAGCCAGCAAATAGAGCATAATCTATAAACTAGCCAAATTCCTTAGCGAATAGTAAAGAGTAGCATTCAAATCACCAAGTAATGAATTGAAAAGTTTATATTAGAATTACCAGCAAACTTATAGGTGTAGATTGATCCTCTCAGACATTTAAATATATCCGAGTAACTTGATCACCACCAATCACTCTCCAGTGGCTCCTGCTGCACTCTAATAATATCCTCATTAAGGCAAAATTGCCCATGATATAACATGATGCGCCACTTTGGGTCCCACTGCCTTCTAATAAATTAAGCCGGAGGTTGCTGTGTCATACTCTCTAATTGTAAGTTTTGATAGCAGATGGGTTTAAATCGAGTCTTCCCCAGCGCCATCATTTAGCACACATGTAGCCTGCACTGAAACTGGCACAGTCTCATATCCAACATGTAGTTCAAAAACACTACACTTGCAAACAGCTCTGATCACTTCCGGCGATGGGAAAGGCTAGGGAGGCCTTTGGCCGGCGGCAAGGAGGAAGACCTATGGGTGGTGGCGGCATAGGAGGAAGGACAAGAAAAGAAAAGAAAAATAGAGAAAACCAAGAGCTCACTCGAAGGGGTTGTTGGGTACTTCGTTTGAGCCTCTCCTAGGCTTCACCTCTCCACTCAAGAGCTCACAAACAAGAACTCAAAATCTAAAAATTTTATTAATTCATCATTAACCTCATACAAAGCAAAAGACCTCTATATATAGGCCTTAATAATAAAGAAAAGAAGAAAGAATCAAATGCCCTCGGGGCTATAATAAGAACTCGCTATCCATAGGGATAAAATAGAAAAATTGAAATGCAAACTAAACAAAACATAAAATACATCAAAAGTAAAGGATCTGAATCGTAGCCGTCGATCTATGATTTCGTCGATGATAAACATATCGAAATCTCTGACTGATGTCCTCATCACACGAGGACTTTAACTGTTTGGCTAAATAACTTCACCCAGCAAATAGAGCATAATCTATAAACTAGCTCAAATTCCTTACGAATGTAAAAGTAGCATCAGATCAACCAAGTAATGAATTGAAAAGTTTATATTAGAATTACCAGCAAACTTTATAGGTGTAGATTGATCCTCTCAGACCATTTAAATATATCCGAGTAGACTTGATCACCACCCAAATCCTCTCCAGTGGCTCCTGCTGCAACTCTAATAATATCCTCAATTAAGGCAAAATTGCCCATGATATCAACATGAGCGCCACTTTGGGTTCCCCTGCCTTCTAATAAATTAGCCGGAGGTGCATGGTCATACTCTCTAATGTAAGTTTTGATACCAGATGGGTTAAATCGAGTCTTCCCACGCCATCCTTTAACACACATGTAGCCTGCACTCAAAACTGGCACAGTCTCATCACCATTAGCTAAAAACACACCACCTTGCAAACAGCTCTGATCACTTCCGCCCTCAGCAGAGGTATCGATCTGGAAAGGTATGTTGCACTCAGATGAGGGAGATAACTTGTAAACATATGCTCTTTCGGTAGGAATTCCTACTCCATACATGGAATATATTTCCATATCAGGGGCATGAGGTAATCTGACAAAACCGAAGCATATAAATGGAGATAATTAATACAGTTTCAGCTTAATCTCTACCAAGTTCAACAATATATGCTAGAATCCCACCATATAATCATTCATTTAAATTTCTACTTCGTTAGCATGTACAGGTTATCAATAAAATTGAAGACAATAGGAGAAGACAAGCTTCTCAAAAACAAGGCATAAGTTAGTATATCAACACCATACCTTGATGAGATAATTACGAAGAAGCTACACTAGAAAAAAAAAAAGCTTGCGACACCTTAGTACAGCTAATCATAAAACGAAGTGTAATTACTTGTGAAAGTGAACTAATCAAAATGATGACTTTCATACTAAAGTTAGCATGACAAAAAAATTAAGGCAACAATATTAATGAAGTATCACTTCATTATGTTTTTCTTCCATATACTGGCAAAAGAGAAAGGACAAACAGAGAAGCAACGGGGGCACATCCAAGACTACAAGGAAATCATGAAAACTGCAGTACAATATAGTTTCACATGTTGATTGAGTGAACAAGATCAATAGCCTTGTGTTCCTTGAAAATTCTATGATCTCATTATGTATATCTTGATTTTAATCTTTGGTTTATGGTCACTTTATTACATGTGGAAAGGTTGATACAGAAGCAAAAGGGAGAGAATAAAACATGAAAACATGAGCTCCAAATCAGTGGGCAGGATGTGATCTATGATCATGCGCTTGTTGAAGTATGAACCCACAATCATAGACAATGGCGTGGTTAAAGAATCTACCGCAGCTGCAATGAAAGTGGGTCTTTATTGGATGGCTTTCGTTGCCTATGAATACAAATCTGGGTGATCTATCTGTGGCCATGGTGAAGTTTAGGTTAAATTAAGTAGAGGTTCAAATGGATTAATGTCAAAGAATAAACACATGAGCTTTGGTTAGGGGTTAAATTCCACTTGAACCTATAGCTAGCTAGTTCTTCATGAAATGCATTGAAATTAAGTTCATTTGGTAATCACTTCACTCTTGCAAATAGGTCCTTGTGATTAGGGTTGAATGTTTAATTATTCAGGCAGTCAATTAGTAAATTATATTTTAACCAATGGCCAAATTTTGCATAAAATTTAGAAAGAGAGCCGAATTAGAAATTTAGTATACTTTACCTTAAACCAATTACAGAAAAATCAAAATTTTCAAAATTTAGCAACTTCAATTTCATTAAAAACTATATATGAATCATTTCCTGGCCTACACTTTTTCTCTCTAGGTTTGGTTTGCACGTCTTAGCAAAGAAAAAGATTGCGATATTTTAGTAAATGCATTCACCAAATCTAGTAGCTTCACCAATTAATACATTAGAAGATTGCCCATGATACACCGACACACCTCTTAAACAGAGAATGCAGTGTCGGACACGTGTTGGACACGAACACGTGCCCGACATGGCTGGGACACGTGTCCAATTAAGATAATAGTTAAATTTAAATGGACAAGCATGTCCTAATTTTTTATAATAATTTTTTTAAATACAAAATTTTTATTTTTTATATTACTTTTATCAAATAAAAAACTCTTAGCACATCAGAGAATCTTAAATGCATCAATACAGCCGGACTGTCCGTATGCCTTAGGTTTTTTACTTGCTCTACATCATCACTCTCCCTCGTCTTCCACCCTCATCTTCTTCGATTGTGCGACCAGGCGATCCCACCGAGCATAGAAATTGCACACCTGAAGCCCAAAACATACTCATCTACATCTTTTCTGCAACGAACCGAGCCCGGAACCTCCTCAACGTCCTCGTCAACGTCTTCTTCAAATCTAGTGCTCTATTTTCCGCCAAGTACCTTCGACTAGAGCCGTTCTCTTCACTCATTTGGTTTTATGTTCCTTTCTCACCGCTCCAACTTGTTTTTCCGTCGAAGCCAGAGGAGGGAGAGTGAGCAAGTGAAGAAATTATTTGCTATTTTACTTTTTTCCTTATATTCCTGCTAGCAAACAAGTGAGCAAATTATGCATACTTTAGTTAGTTCCCACCATTGTCAATACTTATTGTTGATTTTAAAGAAATTAAACATATGAGTCATACATTGAAGTTATAGAAGGAATATAGAATAAATTACATCGATATTATAGGAAGCAATGACATTCAATGAAAATGATATTGAAGGCCAAAGACAAACCTCTGAAGCTAATCCCAGTAGTTGAAGATTGAATGCTTGATGTTGTAATAAATGGTTATTTGCCTATATTTTTGTGGTTGTACTAAATATTTTATATTATAAGCTAGACAAGTTATCATGCCATTCATTTATTATTGATTGTCATTTCCAATATGATGTTACATTAATATCTATACACTAAATAAAAAATGTAATGTTGTATCTGCATCGTACCCGTGTCCTACATTTTCAAAAAAAACCGTTCTCGGTGTCTGTATCGTGTCGTGTTCGTGTCGTGTGTCCGTGTTCGTGCATCATAGAATATTGCACAAAGCATTTCTATTTTATTACTCGTCTAGAATATATTGGTAGATGAATAAGTTTACTATTGTGCAATATTTCACCATCTAAACATTTTAAAAGTGAATAGTCTATCATAAATATAATATCTATCATTTTGATATAAAGAATATATAGCAAATATAGAGTGCTTCCAATGGAATTAACCTGAGGACATTATTGACATCAATTCTAGTTCAACAAAAAGACATCAGATTGTGCTTTAGCTTTAGACTAGTTGTCTCAGTCTACAATCTTGGAAGGGGGTTCATATCGATGCCTCTGAGAGATGCTTTGGATTAGCAAGCCACTAGGAATGCCAAAAGCCGCTTCAAATCATAAAAGATGAGAAGCAGCTCCAAGGAGGCACCAGAGCACTGTCAACCCAGCTCAGCATATCACACCATGTAACCCCACACATCATCAAAAAGTTTAAGTGCACCGACAATACCATATGAGTCACCACATGTGGTATCAGTGACAACATATTTTGTCCACCAAAAACAGTCTCACATTGGTAATGAACTGAAAACCCTCTTCTTTTGAGGGTTACAAAATAAGGAAGGGGTGAACTAATTGCAACAGTTGAAATTACAAATCTGACTTATCTAATGGCTTTACAGAAAAATAAATTACATTTTTCAAATTTAGAAAACAACAAGGCAATGACAAAGCGCTGCATACATTTAGATATGTACACATATTGTAGGATTTCCACCTAGAGTGAGGTGGTGTGCTATATCTTTTTTTAAATGTTCTTGGCTCGATCCACAATAGTAGGCTAGTTGGGTTGCATTTTGCGCTTGTAGAACCAAGACCAACAAGTACAAAGCATGCATGAATTTTTTTGGCATAACGGGGAATTATTGTCCCTTTTTTGTTTAGCATTGCTACACTAACTTTTGCATTAAAATTTCAAAACCCTATGCTCACCTTTCTTAGTGTGAGAGAGATGATATTCACTTCAATGCTAAGTTATACTATTCTCACATTTATTAATGTGGGTAGGACAAGCACCAAGAATAGACAGTTGATTCATGCAGAATCATGTAAGTTTTTTTTTTTTTGGTCCTAGCATAGCCAGGATAGGTGTGACATATATAAGCTATACTGCTTTAAAAACTAGATTGGACCAATTGGGTCATCCATGAACCACCCATATGGCCAGTCCAATCTACCTTAAGAATTGTCCATGTAGCAAACCAATGAGAGTTGATGAAAATTATTAGTACGACCGACAAATCGTTGAAACAATCCTAATTTCTTAGAACCAGTCCATCAAATTGCTACCCAATCTCTTAATATGAGCATCAAATCGCTGCAACAAACAACTGCCAAGAAAGCACTAAATAAAACCCTTTTTGCTTTCCCAACCACCCTATGTGTATTCCCAACACATGCACTCGAAACTAAAAATAATCTATAAACATTACTAAGATGAAGTTCCCAAGTAAAGTAGAACTAAATAACTTTGTTAAAATTTTCAAATTCACACCACATATACTAGAGATATTTAAAAAAAAAAATTCATTAGTTTTTTTATAATGTAATAATTATTATTTTTAATTAATAATATTCAATTTTTTATCTATTCAATTATATAGTATATAAAATTACATTTTTATCTATTTATTATCTATATATAAATTATAAACGTGAATTGTCTATAGGTGCAAATTTATAATATGAATTTAGTATATAATCTATGAGTTTAAAATTAATTTAAGCCTATAACATAAATTAGCAATAATTTATATTAACAAAATTTAATAAATTTATAAATTTATAAATTTAAACTAAATTTAAATATTGAAAGTGTCAAAATTTACAAGTATTGAATATATTATTTTTATATTAGTTATTTTTATTTTTAATCAAATATTTGCATTATTGTATCATTATTGATCATATTTAATAATTCGATGTTTAAAACGTCATCCAATTCAACACTATCCAAATTATTGAAACTGAACATCTCCTTCTTCTAATGCAATGATTTATATTAAACTTAGAAGTTTATATGTAAACAAAACTGATATAAAATTTGAACTAAATTTAAAAATTTTGAAAGTGTTTAAATTACACTAATGACCTAAAAGAAACCTTTCATTTTTACACACCAAAAAAATTGTTCAGCTCAAAATGGCAACTTATATTGGCATATAAGAACCTATGGAAATCAGCATGTTCCTTTTACTAAGGAAGTAAAAGGAGTTGTAAGCAGTAAGGAGTTTTAAGCAGTAATCATTGTTTCAATAAAACGCAAGATCTCCTTGCATATTTATAAACCTAGGTTATAATCTCGGGGTAGTTTAGTTGGGGGTAAAATATTGAACAGATTAAGACTAAACAATAAAATAATATATGAAGAGATGGTAAAGATTGGTCAAAGACTCACTTTGTCTCCAAAGGGTTTGACCAATATTTATAGTGGCTGTATTTTGGATCATCCAAGTTATCAGCAATCCCATAAGAAAAATGAGCACTGCCACGTTGCATCATCTTTGGAGCAACAAAATGAAGAAGGTCCAATATAGAACCAGCTGTATATACTTTGTGGTCAGCAACTGCTTTGGCTCCTCCCACTCCAAACTCATGGTACTCTGTCCAAACATCATTACAAGAAGCATTTGTAGGCCCCAAATTACTACCCTTGACAGCATCCTACACAAAAATAATAAGCCAAATGTTAAGAAAATACAAAAGTAATTTGCCAATATATGAAGCCAAAGGATCAAACATACAATAACACAGTGAAACCAAAGGAAACAAAAACACCATTTTCATCTCTGGTGAAAATAGGAGAGTAATGATTTTTTTTTTCTAATTATGGTCCCATCTAATAAATAGGATTTGAAATCTCTTATCTACCATACTATCATCACTCATAATGCTCCCATCAATATCATAATCTTTTATATCTTCACAGATTGGAAAGAGAGGGGGAACTACCAAGTCTATCATAATCAGAGAATCAAATTCCCTAATAAAATATTCAAGGACGGTACATTCATCTATTTTTAAAGTTCATAAATTAGCCATATAGTTGATCACTATAATACATGAATGGCAAACATTATCTTTACACTATGAACCATGGACACGAACATGATGACATGGACACAAGATGATACAAACATAACAACAAAGCATAGTTGTAACATGCATAAAATAATACACCACAGACACAATGTTATATTTTATAAATTATTAATACAAAATATATAATTTTTAGTATTTTTCACCAAAGGCATCATTAGGTGAAGTATAATATCATATACACATACTTAGGCACATATAACCTAGCTAGTTTTCAAGCAATTCTAATTATATAATAATTAGGAATATGAAGTTTCTTTTGGCTTTTAGCTAAGGCAATGTCCAATATAGTTTCCAATTAGTAGAAGGTTGAGTCCACAAGTCAAAGAGCATAAAAAGTGACAAAAAAGTTATATTATTTAAAAACATTTCATCCTGAGTCGGTCATTAAATGAGTAAAAAATAAGGGAGTTAAACAAAAAATATTTTTTAAATTAAAATTCAATGTCTCTCAATCACTAAAACTCATTAAGAATAATCACTAAGAAGATGGCACCTTTGCATTGCTCTTTTCTACAAAACTAAAAGATATTTTCCAATTCAAAAAACTAACAAGTATAGTAAGTTGAACGAAAATTATACAACTATATAGAACTTTAAGTGTAAATATCAAACCACATGTACGACTTTCTCAGATCTATGGTTTCTCATAGACTCATACAAATCCCTCACATAATGTAGATTAAGATGCAACCAATCAAAACAACAAACATGCAATTTTTAAAAGAATAAGCTATTAATCTTTAAATAACTACCAGATACTTTCCCTAAAAACCAAAAACGATAAAAGTACCATTCATACATGATTGTTGAAGACAAATTATTTAGTCAAAATGTGTGCGAGCTCAAAAACAATTGTTTTATTGAGGTAGATTAGATAATTAGTTAAATAGATTTCTCAATCATTAAGTTAAGCTTCCATAGTTAATTACTTCTTCAACCGTGAGAGCACTCTTGATTAAGGATAACATTTGGCTCAAGATTATAAAGACTTACTAGGTTTGCCCGATTTGGTGAATTGTTTAGGAAATGATTAACTAATCCTATCAAAATCTTATGGTCTCATCGATTAAACAATACCCGTTACAAGTCTATAATTATGAGGGAGCCAAGTTATGGCATGAAGACGTCCTTGTTAGCAACCAAATATATTACCTCATCTAAAGAACTTTCTACATATCCAAGGGTTGATGGAAATTATTATTAGCAATGAAAGCTCTCACAAGTACACGGAAGTTTTATAACATGGAGCCTTTGATGCAAAACAAAACATGCATAAAAAATAGTTCAGGATTATTCTACCAACTTTTGGATTTTCTAGCATTTTGGGATTATTTATATAGTTTTCTTTCAAGTGTAAGTAAGAGATTTAATTTTCTTTTCTTTTATTTGGATGATAGGATTTATATCTTTCTTAAATTTTTTTAAATTTAAATTTGAATAGTTGAGTTCTCCCTAAAATCATATGTCTACAAGTAAGGTATAACTGCATCATAAACAATCATCCTATTGTGAATGAAAATTTGAGACTGAATCATCTTTTCCACCTTGATTCCCTCTCCTCTCTCCTCCTCCCATGGTTCCTTCTCTCTCATACAAAATTGCACTTCACAAAAAACTCACTCAACTGAAAGCCTAATAATAAAAAACCTTCAATTCTAGAGAATTCAAGAAACATCATAATTCCTTCTTCTAAAAGATCTCTTAACAAGCCTAATTCACCCTTTCCATTAAGGTGAATTCAAGAAAATATCAAACAATTATAATGAAATTTTAAAGAAGAAGAAACTAGATGAAAAAGGAAATCATCAATTCCGGTATCATAGCCAATCTTATTACATCATTTGAAATCAAAGATAATTTTCTAAAGATAATTGCATCCAAACCCTAGCCACCTCCCGTTTCCTTTCCCTCGCTCATCAGTGATCTTAAAATGAAAAAAAATCTTCAAATTTGTTCATAATCCACTAATAGTTTAAGTGCCTTGTTTTAGATAATTAAATTCATCAAGTAATCTATTGTGATATAATACAAGCAAATATTTTTCTTATAAAATTTATTTAATTTTGGGTCAAATTATTATAAATTCCCTTCCCAATCTCGTTTTGCCTCTCCAAACTCATCCAATAAATTAGCATGACCAGTTACGGGGGTAAATAAGTCGAGACAACTCGTGAGTCAACTTTAACTCGATTTGTTAACAAGCTAGCGAGTCGAGCTTATCGAGCCTCGAGCTCCAGCCAAATTATTGCTCATATATTAAACGAGCTCGAGTATGAGGTTAACAAGGCTTAGCTCGTTAGCTCACAAGCTAACTTAATCAGAATAAATAGGTAAATCCAAAATATCATTGCTCCCAATAAAATCTAGAGCTAGCTCAGAAGGCCACAAGTCTCGCAAACACCTCTTCTTCAAACACCTCCCATCCAATCAATGCCTTTTCTAGCGAGATGTTGTAGTGAGTTCCTTGTTGTCTCATAGTGGAGGCATGGACATACTCTCCAATGTCCTCTCGCCACAATTTCTTCATTGTTGATCCCTATCTAAGTGGCTCTAGTCGTGAGTAGCAACTTCTCTTGTCATATCCCTTTACCAATATGCTCCTTTGACGACTTGCTCACTTCTTTGTAATCAATGATTTGGCAAATTTGGGCAAGTAACACAAGTTTAGGAGTCTAGCTCAGGCCGCGAGTTGCTAAGATGAACCAAGTTTGAGCACACAATTTGAGCTTGACTAAAGCTCTAGTTTAAGTTCACGCCCAAAGTAAGATATATAAACCAAGTGCAAGTTAGTTATGGCTCGAGCTCGACTCAACCCATTTAAACCCCCCTAACCAATTAATTTCACTTTTGCAAATAGCGCTTGTCATTTATCAGGCATAGTTTACCATTCAAAGAAATTATATATGTATAACAATTAGTCAATTAAAATTTTAGGATCGATTTACCATCATAGATAAACAATTCAACTTTAACCAACAGATAAGTCCAAAAGAAAAACAACTTCACATCCACAAGAACTCTTATCTGTATAGAAATCCCGCACAAGAGCCCCTATCTGCAAGCCAAAGAAAAAATACTCCGCATCCACAGGAACTGCAAGCAACACCTACTTTTCTTCTTTTTTTTAAACAATGTCAAAGTTCACCGCATCACCCTCACACTGAACATTTTAGGTGAGCATAAGCCAAGAAATTTAATCTCTTTCTTCAATACCCATTGTCATTTAACAACCTGTTCTTCATTCAAGAACAAGTTTTGGATGTCACTGACAGGTTTAGAACTTGCCAATTGTATTCATAAAAAAAAAACACTTAACAGCTAATATGCAATTAACCCAAGGGAATAATACTAGGAAATCCAAGAGAGCACTTCTAGTTGCAAAATTTTGATTCGAAGACAAGCACACAAGGTAAATCTATTCAAGAACTGTAATATTAAAATACAGATGCAATATTCATGATAAGGCTTGCTTACTCTAAATTCTATTCTCTCTATCTTGGAAGAAGACATTTTAGCAACATCTTTTCCAAAAGATATAATTCTTCCATAATTTATGTGGTGCGGTTGAGATTTCCCATTTTCTGAATCACTATCATCTGAAACATGAGAATCATTGCTCTTCAACTTCTTAGAGGTGCACTCATAGCCTTCTTCTGGAGACCAGTCTAAACCACCCCAAATAGTATCACCCCCTTTGGGAAGCATTGACATTGTTGAATCCCACGTTCTTGTCATATGCATAACATATCGCAAGGTCTGAAGCCCAAGAAAATCAGAATCTAGCACACCAGGTGCAATTGCTCTGTTTACACATGAAATTCTGTCAGGATTTTTTTGCTATTTTTATTGATATGCAAACTTCTAAAATCGGTGCTTTTAAGTAGGCAAGGTTCTCAGAATATCAGCAATAATGACTTTTTAACCAACTACTTTGCAATATAATATCAGATTCAGGATACTATATACCTATAACCATCAAGTTTTAGATAACCGTCAAGTAGCATCCTTGTTCCAGCAGAAGCTAAGATTCCACATTATGTTGAGATGGATGGATTTTACAAGGGTGAGACATACAGATAAAGAAAAAGAAAACACTAATATCTAGATTTTTCACCACATATAGTTACAATGTTCCATTTTCAAGGAATTGTCAGTCTATAAATGAAGGCTTTTGTTACGCAAGAAACAATTAGCACCTTTTACTACCGTAATTGACCGGTTCTTTCCTAAGACTCATAAATATTTATATAACTATTTGCAAGATCATCCTTGAGGCCTGCAAATAAGACCATAAATTTTCCAAGATAAAGTGTGCAGTTCACCTTTTTTTCCATCAAGCACCTAACAAAAAAACCGTATCTAAAAAGAAAATGTTTAGGTCAAGTCACTCTTGATATTTAATAAGCTTAACAACCATTTCAGGGACGAGGAAAATATTAAATGAAAATGCAACAAGCAAGGGTCCCATAGAAGATGGGGATGGGAAGATGGGGCAAAAATAATTACCTAGCAACAGCAACATCCTTAGCTTCAGCTGAGAAAAGTCCTGTAACAGCCTTTGGAACACCCAAGAAAGGTCCGCCAATATTCATCACAGCTTTTATGTGCTTTGCACACCAATCTACACCGCCGCCGCCGCCCATTGGAGCTGGTTCCTCAACCCACTTCATAAAGTGCAGGAAGTATAAGACTCCCATGGAATGCGGAATAACTACAACTTTGTTCCCACCATTTGTAGCTACCATGAGTTCTATATTACTTTTTATTCTGCTTAGGGTCTGATCTCTTACCTGCTCAAAACATTCAATACGGGTTGCGTATATCAATTATCCAACCTTTAAGAATATCTACACATATTAAGATAGCATATATGTATAGAACTATATTTTGGTATGTATGGATGGGCTTTCATATGAAAAGTCTGCAAGACTCATATAAGATACCACCAAGCAACATATCAGTCCTAACCTTCAGGGAGATTGGAGGTTCAAATCAGTAAAATAATGCTTAATGCTCAATAAAATACGATAAAAGAAAAGGTAAAGAACTACCTCAGTGTTCTGAAAAGAGAGCCTCCAATCATAAGCCGCCATATACATTGTCTTCTCTTCATAACCAATGCGTGCTAAATTAGCAATTAGCACTGCCCAAACAAAATATCCAGGAGCAAAATAGTCTGCTGCCACCAGTCCTGTAACAGGCCTAATTCTAACGCCCGGAGGATCCAATCCACTTTCATTGTCTAGGGACATATGCTCAACCCAGCATAACGGTCTGAGCAGATCCAAAATACATACATGTTGGGACAAAAAAGTGAAAGTGAGTTACCAGCTTATAAAGTAATTCATTTTTTCTTTATAAATGACCCACTATACTTCTACAAGCATTTGATGATTTAGAACACTGAATATCCCTCACCCTTTTGCATGTATAAGAACTTACAGATCTCCTACTAATTTTCTTGATTATTAGATTACCCCTCAACAAAGTTCTAAAATGTATAGTGCACCAGGTGCAGAATTCTCCTTCATCCCCACCATCAATTTGAAGGAGTAGCAAGAATTACATTTAAATGATCCTGGGACCCAGAGCTAGCTACAAACATGGACTTTTATCACCTTTCATTTCTAAACAAAATTATTTGCTCTCGGCCTCATGAAACCTTCCCCACTTATTATGTTAAGTGTTGCATTAGATGTTGGCTCTAGTTTAATTTAATTCTATCTATTTGCCTGTAGATACATCCACTGCCCTTATAAATGTGAAATCCTATGTTTATGTACCACTGTCACTTTTAAGTATCACTCTCATAGATTTTCTTATATGATCATTTCTCACTTTACTCATCTAAACTTTAGTACACATCCATCTAAAAAAAATTATTCTGTGATGCACTTTGTATATTTTTTGTGGCTTCTTCATTCCCAACACTCAAATTCATATAGCATGGTTAGCTGATTATAATTTTATAACAGTTAACTCCAATTCTTCGTGATATCATCTTATTGCAAAGTATTATTGAGGTATTTATCCATTATATAATAAATAATATACAAAAAAGAAGGGACTACCAAGCCAAGCAAACTAAACTCAAAGGTTAATTGAAGTGGACTATGACGAAGGAAAGCTATTTAGCAAACAAGTATTTGTTCGCAATAAACAATTTTGCATAGATTCTAAAATAGAATTCGAACAAACACGTCGAGCAGCTTAGTTAATACATAGGTGATTCCGACATCTTCCATCTATGTTAAGGATTCTATCCTATCTACACGCATTAAGCATACCTCGAAAAATGTCCTTTCACCACCAGCACGACAGTTAACCACCAAAACAACATTTAATGGCTACAACAACGAAAACCTCCGCTTAGGGCCAGAATGCCACACGCAGTACTTGCAATAAGTGTAACTTAAGCAACTGCAAATTCCACAACGTCATTCCTTCAGAAGAGTTCCCATAAAGTACATAGATTTCCATGAAAAATGAATGTCAATTAAATCAATCTTAAGAATGCCGCCACTAAAGAGCCTCAATCTAAGTCTTATTGGAATACAACATCTCTATTCTAACAGTTCGGACCATTGCCAGCAATCAAATTAGCCAATCTAGTATGCAAAACCTTTTTATCCATTCTAATACAACGCAATACCCTTAAAGAACCCTTTACGTAAAATTAAACTTCGTATGACCAAAAAAATATTATGTAAAGCTCATCTGACCGTAAGCGGAAACAAAAAGACAAGACTTACATCATCAAGGCACTTACAAAACATTGAATTCATGACTGACAACAGAAGGAACTTCAAGATATAAGCCCCAATTTCCCATTTCAATTTCTGATTATCTTCCCCAAACCATCCCGCGTGCCTAATTAAAATCAATGGAATACATAAACATGTAAGGGGAAAGATCGACTCAAACGGAAAATACCGTTTATAAATTTCTCCGAAGGTTCCTCCCCATAGTCGCTTGCGAAACAACCCTTCGGCGCAATGGTGCCCTTCCCAGAGCTCCAGTCCGCCCGTAACAATCCCCGGAACAAAGACAACCGGATGTCGGGCGCGGAGCCCTTCCTTCCGCAGCTTTAACCCAGGCGGATCCGACATCGGGCCAGTGATTGCTTCGGTGACGTACTGCGGGAACGACGGTGGCATCGCATTGTAAAGGAATAGCAGCAACCACCACGCCGTACATATGCACCCGATCAACCAGCAACAGCTATCCCAGCAAGACCACCGCCCTTTCACCTCCTTTCCTTTCGCCTTCTTCTCCTTGTCATCCTTCTCCTCAACTACAGACGCAGGTGACGCGACGCTGCCGTCGATATGCGATGGGGGCGGCGGCGGGGCCCTTCTTCGTCTAAGCAAAGACATATTGCATCCAAAAAAAGCCAAGCGTTAATCTAGGGCAGTGCGGATCCTGGCAGCCGGTGTAGCCGTGTGGGAAGGTAGACGGGAAGGGAGAGCCTTCCCTCGGATTTGTTAAGTATTTGGGTAGGGATATATGGGCAGGAGAAGGAGGCGGATGGGAGGTGACGGTATTCGACCAACAGGCGATGGTGTCTCGTGGCTGGCAACTAGTGGTTACGTATGGTGTTTCGCGATAGCCCGTTTTTGCGGACCCCACGCCCAAATTATGATTCTGCGATGGGAAGATCTCTACCGTTGAATAGATACACACTAGATTCACATGGGCGATTACAGGACAATCAATAATCAATTATCACATGGACAGGTTTTTATATAAAAAAATTTGGGTTGGAATATACTAGAATATACTAAGCTCAATTTTAGTTGTAGTAACTTTAAAAATTATTTATTTTTTAAAGAGAAATTTACATACATACCAATTTATTTCATGCTATTTACATATCAAATATTCAAAATATTAATATTGCAAGCATAATATTCATATATAACTTTAATATCAAATATATCAATCATATAATTCATTTCTATCATTCATATCATCTTATAAACTTTAATATTTCATTACATACACCCAAATTTATTCTATAGGTGGTAGGCATATAATATTAATAGTTTGGGTGTTAAATATATAAATTGCATAAAATAAAATGGTATGTATGTAAATCTTTCTTTTTAAAAATAAATATAAAATAATTTTTTTAGATCTTAAAATTAATTCAATGGTTTTGGGATTTTATTTTATTTTTATCGTATATTTTATAAAATATTTTTTTAATTTTATAAATTTAGAAGAGAAAATGAGTATTCATACTTGTATTGTATGAACCAATTGATGAGATCACTAAAAAGTATCATTAAAAATATTTATGATGCTTATAATTATTTATTCATCGTTATTTTTCATACTAAAAATCATGCACATACATTTTTACCATTAAAAAAAACTAATTTCAAAATAATATAATTAATATGGGCTAGAATATTCATGACGATAAAGTAGAAAAAACAATGCCGCTTAACATTACACGAGTATCCACCTCACACACATAATGAGTAGAAACACCATATTTTTTATGTGAAAATCCTAAAGAGAAAAATCACGGGACCACCGGTTGAAATTAATTCACTAGTATTTGAATAAATTACAAATAATTGATGTGTACTCAAACTTGAGGCCGATCATATTACAATAGTCTACCAACATGTTGAAATCTAGTGACGAAAAAAAATCTGGTGACGGTCGATGGTCTGACGGGGGACGAGGAGAAGTCTGGTGGCAAGAGAACTATAGTTTCTCTCTCTTCCTTTTCTTCCTTGCTTGGGTTCCCCTTAAGGCCCTTATGAAGAATAAGGGGCCTATTTATATTTTTTGGAAGTGGCATGACCAGCAAATAGGAGGAAGATCAAGGGTATGTTCTTAGTGGTTTGAATAAATGGATGATATTGATCCCCTTGGTCTAGATCATTTGTTGGACATTTGAATGTCTTAATGATGTCAAAATTCGTCAATACTGAGCTCGTTGGATTTGTCTCGTCGAACTATTCAATTCGCTAATAAGAATTTCACATTTGGAAATTGTTTGGTCATCCAATTTATGGTTTGAACCTTCTAAATGTGCTTTGAGTCTTCGATTTGAAACCATTTGGGCTTGGACTGAGTCAAATTTGATGTCGTTGGGTTTGTCTTTTCAAGATGTTTAGTTCAACTATAAGTTTGTTGAAATTGGAGTTCAGATGGTCTCAGATTTAATTTTAGAAGTTTCCAACCTAATCTTTGCCTCGAGATTCATGCTCGAACAAGATAATTTTTTGATGATATATCAATAATTTAAATAAATTTGATGATGTCAAATTGTGACATTTTAGCATTATAATCTTGGGTTTTTTAAAAATGAACCAGCTTCGCAACGCTGGGTTGTAGCTTCGCAATGCTAGAGCATTATCTGCACTTTAAATATAAAATAAATCCACTATTCTATTCATTTAAGCATCGCAGCTAGCTGAGCAGGAGAGAGGAGAGGGCTTTGGAGGGGGAAAAGAGGATTTTTGAGCATCTTCAGGTCAATTTTAGCCATTGGCCTAATTTGAAAAGTTGTCTGAATCGAGGTAGCTCACATTATGCATATCTCAATTTTCAAAAATGCAAAGTTTTTCTAAATTTCTCAATTAAATTTATATTTTTGTTATAAAAAATATGGATAATTTTGCAATGTAAAAGTTTTCTCGGCATAACTTTTTATATGCTATAGCGACTGAGATTATAAATATTTTATAAATTTTTTCACATGATATTTTAAAATTTATATAATTTTTTAATAGAAAATAATTTGGACTCAGCATAATAGTGTTGTGGTATGATTAAAGTCTTAAAATAGTGTTTTACACAATCTCTTATAATTTGGTTAAATTTTAAAATTATGAATTATGCTCAGTAAGTATTTTATTTATGTATATTGTTAATACAAGCATTAAGAATGAATGTTGATATGTAAATGAGTGATAGCTTATCATTATTGATGTTATAATACTGGAATAATAAAATATGTAAAAAAAAAAAAGGAATAGGCTGATTTTACCAACGTTGGCTAAAAATTGGCTAACATGTATATGATGGTCGGCCAATGAGCTTTCTTTTAAATGTTGTGGTTTGGTGTTATCATTTGTCGATTCATGAGATATGTTGATGGAGGTTATAAGGAGTTATCATTGTGTTAACGAGAAAGGAGTGCGACTATATTTACTGAGCTAACGATTACTCATTATTGACCACTAAAAAATGTCGTGCAAGCTAAAACTCCTTACTTGTCTAATGTGATTACTGGAATGCATATTATTTATTCATTATTACTATTTGACTTTATTATTTTATACTGATTTACTATTACTTTACGAATTTATTGTTACTATTACAACACTATTCTACTACCAGACCACCACTTGAGACCTGAACTTCTGCCGGACCACCGCCTAAGGCTTGGACTTCTGTCAAACCACCGCTTGACGTAGTTCTCTAGCCATACCACCACTTGAGGCCCTCACATCTACCGGACCACCACTTGAGGCCCAGACTTTTGTCGGTCCACCACTTTAGGCCCTGTACTCCACTAGGCCACCATTTGAGGCCCGGACTTCGGCTGGACCACCATTTAAGGCACAGACTTCTACCGGACCACCACATGAGGCATGAACTTCTGTCGGACAACCACTTGAGGCATGAACTTCTGTCATACCACCACCTGAGGCCCGAACTTCTGTCGGACCACCACCAGAGGCTCGGACTTCTGCCATACCACCACATGAGGCCCAATTTTTGGACGAACCACCATCTGAGACTCAGACTTCTGTCATACCACCATTTGAGGCCCTATACTCCACCAGGCCACCACCTGACGCCCAGACTTCTGTCAGACCATCACTTTAGGCCCTATGTCCATCATGACATCACCTGATGCCCAGACTTATACCTGACCACTACTTGAGGCCCTGATCTCCACCAGGCCACCATTTGATGCCCAGACTTCCTCCGGGCCACCACTTGAAGCCCAGAGCTCTCTCAGAGTACTGCGCTTCTACCACGGTCATTTGGACCCCTGTCTCAAGCAAACTATGGTCCTTCCAACCTCCATCACCAGATAATAGTCTTTTTGACCCCGGTCTCCTTCCAACTACGGTCTTTCGGACCCCTATCTCATGTCAACTATGGCCCTTCCAACCAAACAAACACATCTATGTTGATTATTGTAACTCCCACCATGTAATGTGCTCTATATGATGTATATTTGTGACATCAATCCAAGCCCTTCTTCTAAGGAATGGCCTCATTTGTAATCGACTGCAAATACTAGTGAACTCATTCAAACTGGATCATGCCCCGTGGTTTCCCCCCTTTTTTCAGGGGTTTCCACGTAAAAACTCTGGTGTCTCTTATGAGTGCTACACCCTCTTTCTAATATGCTTGTGTGTTAGATCTTCGTACAACGCTAAGACATTAAACTATATATTTCTCTACCGTCGCGAATATTCTAGGATGCAACATTACTCATTAGTATTTTTTCATCAAATTAAACATAACTTTTTTTTAAAATTGTGTATTTTGAATACTTCACACTTATTTTTAATCAAAATAAAAAGCATCTTAATTTTCTAAAAAAAAATACTTACTATTTTTTTGGTGAGCATGCCGACATAAGATGCAGGCTTCCTTTGTTGACCGTATTTTGCTACTATATTGCTGCTACACAATTATCCTTGGCCTATTGGTTGATATGTTAGGCTTCCAACTAAGAAGTTTTGGATTCGAGTCTATGTATATGCATTGTATGTGTGAGTTTCGAATTTACCTTAAATATCCTAAATGTCAAAAAAAAAAAAAAAAAAAGCTAAATTATTGCTGCTTTAGCTACTTCTCTGAACGTGGCGGTTGGTGGTTGACTATAAAGGTTGGCGGATGTGATGATGGGAGGAGCTCACGAGGGCTGGAACATAGGAACGTAAGTACAGACAGGCGTTGATTTCGTTGAGCGTCGGTTGGAGCGCGCGGGACCACTCGGTGAAGATACCCTGCTCATCGACAATTGTTTGGCTTTTTGAAACCATTAGTATTTTTTTTTTTGGGAATGATTGTAACGATTAGTACGAGAAGACAAATTTAATTCAAGAGTTTGGCGTCCATAGCTTCGACAATAATTGAATCTTTTAAAATTTTTAGAATAATTATTTAAATCTTTAATGCTGTAAATTTAGCTCACCTTTCACCGCGAGGGTCTTTCAAAATATTTGGATCTCGTGCATTGCGGTAGGGGTTGGAAACAAATTGAATGCTGCCGGGTAAGAGTTTTGATGTGTTATTAAAAAATTCATTTGACTATTCATTAATCTTCATGCATAGTATAATTTAATGACAAATTTTTAAATTAAAATTTAAATAATCCTTTTTTAAATTTTAGTGAATATATAGTCAAATTAAATTTATGAATAAGATAAATCAAATAACATTAAAAATAGCCTAATTAGAATCTAAATGAGCCTAGATCAAGCAGTTAAGATGAAATAGATGATTTCAATATATTAATTGGATAACTGAACATTTTTTCAAGCATCGCATGATTT